ATCTACTGAAAAGTAGTACGAAACATTATTTATTAATTTAATGACTAAAAATTCCTGAAGTGAGTAATATTAATAATTACTGAATTTTTGTAGCAAAGTTTTTCAACTTTTTTTAATTCACACTTGCACAATCTTTATTCCATACAAAAATTATTATAAAATTTCATATTTTCTTCATATATTAAAACATTTTTTTCAAAAATTGATATAAACATTTATTTCATTAATGTTTTGTTTTGCTTGTTTCCTCCAGTTGTTATTTTTGACGATAATTAAGAAAGAAGTAAATATATCTTTAACAAAAAAGTTACAATTTAAACAATCTGAGGTCTTTTTTCTTATATAATTATTAACGTTTTTTTTATTTTAACTTTGTATGAAATATTACATTTTTTAAATAATTTATTAAATATCAATTTTTGAAGTGGATAATATTGTATCAGGAAGCTCGGGTTTCATTTTCAGCGGTCTCGGTTTTGATGCAACCTGAGCAGGAGGCATCGATGATCTCGGTCGTATCACTTTCGAACTGGAAGAAGAGTTCTGAATCGGCACTTTCGATTGTTTGGGTTTCGGCTGGTTAAGATTTTCATACATTCCTTCCATGAGCATCGCTTTTATTTCTGCCTGCCTACTTAGAGGAGGACGCTGTGGCTGTGGAGGCTGTGGTGGTGTAATCGTGCAATTCTTCTGTGTGCCGGTTGGAACTTTTCGAGGTCTTCCTCGCTTCCTTACCTCTGGGTTCACCCATATACCACTAAGCACTGGAGGTTTATTTTCTTCAGTGCTGCTGCTGCTACTACTTTTAGCACTTTCGCACGACGAGGCTGGTTTCGTAGACTGCACTTTATTTGCCCTGTAACCACTGGGAATTTGAGGAGGCAAAGAAACTTCAATATTTTTCGACTTGTTGGCCAACGCAGTCGACTGTTGACTGATTGACTCCGAATCTGATTCATCGGAAGAAGAGTCACTCAATCGACTGCACCTGAAGCTTGAAGAGTTGCTGTTCATATTATATTGCAGACTTAAAAGCCTGGACTCTAACTCTTCCGGCTTGAAATGAGCCGGAGCCGAAACCGGAGTCGGAGCCGGAGTCGAAGCCGCGATTTGAGTGCGTTCGACGGATGCTTCCCTCGAGCTCGCCGATGAACTACTGCTCGAAGACGAGCTACTGCCTGAAGATGAGCTTCTGCTCGATGAAGAGCTTCTGCTCGAAGAAGAGCTGCTGCTGCTACTTGAACTGCTAGATGATGTGTTCGACATGATGAACAACTGTTAAATGAATCTTTTATACTCGAAAATTTCACAATGACAGTTTTATTGCACTACAAACTACCTGCTACTGCCTTACAAATTTTGAAAAAGCGCGCCAAACGAAGAGTTCCAAGCAGCTACTACTGGTACTATTACTACTTTCTAACACTGCTGGTAAAAAAAATAATAATAATTAACATTATTATAAACTTTTAAGTATAATAATTAACATCTTCCGTATTCAATTATAATACAAAATTATTGTTAAGGATTTATTCTTTAAATAATTGTATAAAGAAGTACTTTCTTAATTATTGTCAAAAGTAACAAAACTAGTTTTGCTTGTTAAACAAATAATAATAAACTTATTGTTTATATTAACATTCAATTAATAAATAATGTTTTTCAAAAGTTTTCAGGAGATTTCAAATAAAATAAA